AGTCATGTCCAACTCTTTTCAACCCAGTGGACTATAGCCTACCAGGCTCCTCCGTCCGTGGGATTCTCCAGGCAAGAATACTGGAATGGATTGCCATTCTCTTCTCCAGGGGATCTTCCCGACCCAGGGATCGAACCCAGGTCTCCCGCATTGCAGGCAGATGCTTTAATCTCTGAGTCACCAGGGAAGCCTTAAAGGGCACTATCAAAAAAGTTAAAAGGTAATGCACAGAACTGGAGAAAAGACTTGCAGAGCATGTATCTGATATGGGCCTAGTATCCCGAACTTATGAAGAAACCTTGCAACTTGTATTTGCTTCCTAGGGCTTCTGTAACCGGAGAAGGCAATGGCACCCCACTCCAGTACTCTTGCCTGGAAAATCCCATGGACAGAGGAGCCTGGGAGGTTGCAGTCCATGGGGTCACTAAGAGTCGGACACGACTGAGCGACTTCACTTCACTTTTCACTTTCATGCACTGGAGAAGGAAATGGCAACCCACTCCAGTGTTCTTGCCTGGAGAATCCCAGGGACAGGGGAGCCTGGTGGGCTGCCGTTTATGGGGTCGCACAGAGTCTGATACGACTGAAGCGACTTAGCGGCAGCAGCAGCTTCTGTAACAAAGGACTATAAACTGGATGGCTTGCAACCACAGAAATGTATTATAGTGTGTGAAGTCACTCAGTCATGTCTGACTCTTTGAGACCCCCAGGACTGTAGCCTACCAGGTTCCAACGTCCATGGGATTTTCCAGGCAAGAATACTGGAGTGGGTTGCCACTTCCTTCTCCAGGAGATCTTCCCAACCCAGGGATTGAACCCGGGTCTCCTGCATTGTAGGCAAACACTTTACCGTCTGAGCCACCAGGGGAGTCCACAGGGATATGTTCTAAGATCCCCAGTGGATGCCTGAAGCTGTGGATAGTACCAAACCCTACATATACTATATTTTTTCCCATACATACATACCAGTGATAAAGTTTAATTTCTAAATTAGGCACAGTAAGGGACGTCCCTAGTGGTCCAGTGCTTAGGATTTCACCTTCCAACGCAGGGGGTGCAGGTTCAATCCCTGGTTGGGAGGCTAAGGTCCCACATGCCTGGTGACCAAAAAACCAAAAGTTATGTGAATGTGACCTCTCAGCCCCCCCAATATCTTACTGTACCAATGTAATGCCTTTTCCATCTTAACTTTAAGCACTTATTCACGTGCTGTGGGTATAACTTCTGTAGTTTGAGGTGCAGCAACAAAGCTGGCACAGTTTGTTTTTCCTTCTTCATAATCTCACAGATAGAAGACTCTTTCTTACCGTAGATCTTAACAACCTTTGAATATCATTTCTTTCTTTCCTTGTTTAGTCGAGAACTTTTACTGTGTTAAAGAAAGCACTTTACGACTTATCTGGCAGATGCGAATTGCCAGCATCACTCGTCTTATGCTTTGGGGCCGTTATTAAGTAAATCAGGGTTCCATGAAGACAAGCACCGCGATACCACAATGGGCCATCTGGTAACCAAGAGAACTACTGACAAAGTGACTAATGGTGGGACAAAGGCGTGATCCACGTCCCAGGTAGGATGGAGAAGGACGATGAGAGATTTCATCGCACTACCCAGAATGGTCACAGTGCAAAACTTGTGAACTGTTTATTTCTGGAATTTTCCACTTAATGTTTTTGTGGAAAATATAGTTGGCTGTGGGTAACTGAAACCATAGATAAGGGGGAACTGGTATATCTGATGGTTCTGGAGGCCAGAAGTTCACAGTCCAGATGCTGGCAGGGTTGGTTCCTTCTGGAGATTCTGAGGAAGAATCTGTTCCACGCCTTTCTCTCATCTTGGAGCGTCACCAGCAGCCTTGGGCATTCCCTGACTCGTAGACGCATCACTGCAGGCCCTGCCTCTCATCACACGGGGTTCTCCTTCTGTCTCTCTGGCTTCGCTTGGTGTCCTCTGAGTGTTCTCTTTTCTTCTCTTATAAGTAGATCGGTCACATTGGATGAAGGGCCCACCACACACCAGTATGACCTCATCTTAACACATTTGCAACAACTCTGCTTTCAAATCAGGTCACATTCTAGGGTACTGGGGGGTAGGATTCCAGCATATCGTTTGCAGGGTTGTGGGGGGGACACACACAATTCAACCCATAACATGACAAAAGAACAAATAAACCAGTTTGAAAATCGGCAAAGGATTTGAATAGATCTTTCTCCAAAGAAAATATACAAATGACCAATAAGCATGTGAAAACATGCCCAGTGTTTTTAGACATCAGAGAAATGCAAATCAAAACTGTAAGTTTGCACTTCATATTCTAGCCGTACATTCATCTGACTATAATCAAAAGTACAGATAATAATGATGGAGAAGATGTGGAAAAATTGGAACCCTCATACATTGCTGGTGGGAAGGTAAAATGGTACAGCCACTTAGGAAAACAGTTTGGAAATTCCTCAAATGTTACACGTAGTTATCATCAGTTGAGTTCAGTTGCTTAGTTATGTCCAACTCTGTGACCTCACGGACTGCAGCATGCCAGGCTTCCCTGTCTATCACCAACTCCCAGAGCTTGCTCAAACTCATGTCCATTGAGTCTGTGATGCCATTCAACCATCCCATCCTCTGTCATCCCCTTCTCCTCCCACCTTCAATCTTTCCTAGCATCAGGGTCTTTTCTAATGAGTCATGTCTTTGCATCAGGTGGCCAAAGTATTGGAGCTTCAGCTTCAGCATCAATCCTTCCAATGAATTTTCAGGATTGATTTCCTTTAGGATTGACTGATTGGATCTCCTTGCAGTCCAAGGGACTCTCAGGAGTCTCCTCCAACACCACAGTTCAAAAGCATTAATTCTTCGGCACTCAGCTTTCTTGCTTTCTTTATGGTCCAACTCTCACATCCATACATGGCTACTGGAAAAACCATAGCTTTGACTAGATGGAACTTTGCAGGCAAAGTAATGTCTCTGATTTTTAATATGCTGTCTAGGTTGGTCATAGCTTTTCTTTCAAGGAACAAGCACCTTTTTATTTCATGGCTGCAGTCATTTTCTGCAGTGATTTTGGAGCCCAAGAAAATAGTCTGTCACTGTTTCCATTGTTTCCCCATCTATTTGCCAGAAAGTGATGGGACCAGATGCCATGATCTTCGTTTTTTGAATGTTGAGTTTTAATTCAGCTTTTTCACTCTTTCACTTTCAAAAAGAGGCTCTTTAGTTCCTCTTAACTTTCTGCCATAAGGATGGTATCATCTGCATATCTGAGGTTATTGATATTTCTCCCGGCAGTCTTGATTCCTGTTTGTGCTTCACCCAGCCCAGCATTTCTCATGATGTACTCTGCATATAAGTTAAATAAGCAGGGTAACAATATGCAGCCTTGACGTAATCCTTTCCCGATTTGGAATCAGTCTGTTGTTCCATGTCCGGTTCTAACTGTTGCTTCTTGACCTACATACAGGTTTCTCAGGAGGCAGGTAAGATGGTCTGGTATTCCCATCTCTTGAAGAACTTTTCACAATTTGCTGTGATCCACACAGTCAAAGGCTTTAGCATAGTCAATGAAGCAGAAGTAGATGTTTTTCTGGAATTCTTTTGCTTTTTCTATGATCCAACAAATGTTGGCAGTTTGATCTCTGGTTCCTCTGCTTTTTCTAAATCCAGCTTGAACACCGGGAAGTTCTCAGTTCAGGTACTGTTGGAGCCTGGCTTGGAGAATTTTGAGTATTACTTTGCTAGTGTGTGAGATGAGTGCAATGAGTGTAGTACTTTGAACATTTTTGGCATTGCCTTTCTTTGAGATTGGAATGAAAACTGACCTTTTCCAGTCCTGTGGCCACTGCTGAGTTTTCCAAATTTGCTGGCATATTGAGTGCAGCACTTTCACAGCATCATCTTTTATGATTTGAAAAAAACTCAGCTGGAATTCCATCACCTCCACTAGCTTTGTTTGTAGTGATGCTTCCTAAGGCCCACTTGACTTCACATTCCAGAATGTCTGGCTCTAGGTGTGTGATCACACCATCGTGGTTATCTGGGTCATTAAGATTTTTTTTTGTTATCATATTATCCATCAATTCCACTCCTAGGTGTGTACCAAGAGAATAGAAAACCTGCGTCCACAGAAAAACTTGTACATCAAAGTTCTCTGCAGCATTATTCATAATTGCCAAAAAGTAGAAAACTACTCCTATGTCCATCTTCTGAGAAGTGGATATATAAAACATGATAAATCCATAATTGGAATATTACTTGGTAATAAAAAAAGGAATGAAGTATTGATACATGCCAGGACATGGATAAACCTTGAAAACATCATGCTAAGGGAAAGAAACCAGTTTCAAAAGACCACATGTTGTAAAATTTCATTTATACATATTCAAAATGGGCAAACCTAAGGAAACAGAGGGGGTTTCCCAGGTGGCACAGGGGTAAAGAATCTGTCTGCAGTGCAGAGACACAAGAAAGGTGAGTTTGATCCCTGGCTTAGGAAGATCCCCTGGAGGAGGAAATGGCAAGTCACTCCAGTATTCTTGCCTGGAGAATCCCATGGACAGAGGAGCCTGCATGCTACAGTTCATGGGGTCACAAAGAGTTGGACACAACTGAGCCCTCACACATGGAAACAGAAAGTAGATTATTGATTGCCTAGAACTGGAGTGGTTGAGGGGAAACAGGGAGTGGCTGCTGATGGGGTTTCCTTATGGAACAATGAAAATGTTCTAAACATAGATTGTGGTGATGGTTGCACAACTCCATGAATATGCTAAAACTACGAATTACACTTTTTTTTTTTTTTGGTCACATCATGCTAGATCTTAGCTCCCCAATCAGGGATGGAACCCACTCCCCCTGTAGTGGAAGGGCGGCAGTCGTAACCACTGGACTGCCAGGGAAGTCCCTGAATTATACACTTTAACTGGTTTAATTTTATGATGTGAATCGTGTCTCAATAAAGGTGTTTTTGAAAACAAACAAACTTGCCTTTCCTTCTTTCCTAATAGAAAAGCAAGAGCTGGATCTCAGAAGATGACTTCTACCGGCCTCCCCGGGAACAGCCCACAGACAGTCCTCCTGATGCTGCCACAGCTTCTCCCGGAGGGATTCCCGAGTCAAGGCCTGACCTCCTGGTGCAAGAACCAAGACGAAGCTGCTCCATGGAGGCCTTAGACAAAGCTTGCGCGCCTTCCCCAGGGAGTGGGAGAAGCAGGGCTGCCCCGGCGCCGCCGGAACACAGGAACTTCAGGGTGGTGCATCGCCGGCAGATGGGTAGGCAGTTCTGCGGGCGTCTGGGTGCCGCACTGCGCATGAGCAGTGCCTTTCGGAGAGCAGTTTGAAAGTCCTGGTTTGCGTTACCGTTTGGGCAGTATCTTCTCCCATAAAAAACCTCATCCCAAAATGTAATAAGGAGCACCCTTGCAGAGTAATTCAGGAAGGCATTTCGGGAAGAGCACTGTATTTTCTCATAAAATCTTTTTTTAAATTTTTAGTGGAATATAGTTGATTTACTATGTTGTGTTAGTTTCAGATGTACCGCAAAGTGAATCAGTGAATCAGCCACACCGATACATACATCCACTCTTAAGAAAGTAATGCTCAAAACTGCCTACAGAGTACACGAATACTGTTTGATATACAGAAATGGAAAATAACTTCCCTGAAACTCTTGTATAAATCTTAATGAAAAAAAAAAATCCTAATGATTTTTTTCCAAATCTTAATGATTATATATAAGATTATATGTAAGATACATAAGATAATCTTAGGAGTATATAGGCCTCTGGACTCTGTCTGGAGCCCAGAACGAAAGCCCCGCCTCTAGAAGGCTCAGATGTTTCCACTGCTCCTCCCTAAGGCCTTTCTCTCAGACGGTTTATTTAGCAGCTCTGGTGGGGTTGATCAGATCTGCAGTTTGTTCGGTGTCCTCTGTGTGCAGGGAGGCCAGCTTGGCCTCCATACCCTGTGAAATTCCATAAAGCATTAACTAACCATAACCTAATTTTTCTGTAACCCTCAGAAACAGACAAATGTGCAAGTGTGTCCCAGAGTCCGTCTGTTTCCTCATTCTGTTTGCAGTGGCCCAGCAGAGAATGCTGGCTGGGTTTCTGGGGCCCTGGCTCAGGGAGTCTGGGCACAGCTGTGGTTTCCATGCCACCTCCTCCTAGGTTTTTCTTTCAGCCCATGTGATGGTTACAACCATACCAGAGAAGGTGTGCTTTATGCCTGCATCATCAGGTATGGAAGGATAGGAAGACCCTACACAATGGTTTGAAATCTCTAAGGCTCGTCCAAGCTGGGATAGAGAATTGTGTGTCCTTTGGACCCCCTTGTTCAGGAACGTGGCTAGCCCCCAGGGATCAGGGAGCCTTGGGCTCCATGTGGTACACACAGAGTGTCTGCTCAACAGATACTTATTGGGCACCTGCGATGTGCCAGGTACTATTCTAGGTGCTGGGGACACAACAGGAAATGAAGCCCGGTCCTTATCTTCATGGGAGTTGTATTCTAGCGTGAGAGACAGGAAATAAGCAGATGAACAAGTAAACATATAGTGGGGGCAGGTGATCATTCCTGTGGGGAATAGTAAACTGGGGAGGTGGGCAGGGTACTATTTCATAAAGGATGGCCAGGGACTTCCCTCATGGTCCAATGGTTAGGATCTACACTTCCACTGCTGGGGCCCATGTTCAGTCCCTGTTCAGGGAATGAAGATCCTGCAAGCTGCATAGCACAGCCAGAAAGTAAATAAATAAATAAAGGCTGGCCAAGGAAGCCCTCACAAATTAGGTGACATTTGAGGAGACTTGAAAGGTGGGGAGAGAGGCACAAGGCAATCGTTGTATTTCAAGCAGGGAGAATGTGTGCAAAGGCCCTGTGACAGGAACATGCTTGATGTGTCCAGTAAGCAGCAGAGACCATAGTAGCTGGAACAGAGGTGATGGGAAGGTGGTGGCTAGAGATGATGTCAGAGTGATGGGGCGCTTCGTGGGCCACAGTGAGGATGTTGGCTTTTGCTCTGAGAGAGATGTGATCTGATTTGGGGGACTCTCCGGGGGAGTCATCCTGGCTCATTTCTTGAGGGGCTTCAGGGGGACATGGACCAGTCAGGAGGCCACAGCAGTAAGCCCGACCAGGAATGATGGTGGACCAAGCCCCTGAGGTAGTGGTGGAGGCGGTGAGAAGTGGAGGGAGGCTCTGGGTATACCAAGAGGATTTGCTGATAGATTAGATGTGGGGTGTGAAAGGAAAAAAAAAAAATAAAGGGTAGCTCCAAACTTTTTAGCCTAAGCATCTGGGAGGATGAAGTTTGCCATTTTACTAGATGAAGAACATCAGGAGAGAAGTGGGTTTGGAGTGGGAGAATCAGGAACACGTTTTTGGACGTGTCAACTTTGAGAAGCCTATTAGACATACACGGAGCAGATGGAGATCAGAATCTAAAGCTCAAGGGCGAGGTCCAGGCTGGAGATAAAAACTGAGGAGTTGTTGGCATAAAGACCCAAGACCAGGGAAGATCAGCTAGGAAAAGAGAAGAGAACCAGGGCCGAGTCCAGGGCCTCCATAAACAGGCCAGTGAGAGGAGGGAGCATCCGGGAGACGGGAGAGGGGGGCCAGTGACGGCAGAGAAGACCCCAGGAAAGGGGGGCTCTGCTGTGTGCAGTGATGCTGATGGGCCAGGCCAGATGGGGACCAACGACTAGCCTTAGGACTTGGCAACAAGGCAGGCCTGGTAGCTTTCCCAAGGGCAAATTCTGTGGACTCGGGACAGAAGGCTGCTCAGAGGAGGTTCAAGAAAGAACAGAAGGAGGGGGGCCCAGAGACATTCCCACACCTCCTCAGGGGGGTTTCTGTAAAGGTGACAGAGACCCAGGGTGGTAATTAGAGATGCGAGTAGAGTCGAGAGATATTTTTAATGCTGGGAGAAATAACAGCATGTTTGTGGGCTGGTGGGAATGATCCAGGAGAGAGGGAGAAGACAGCGACGCGGGAGGGGCAGAGAAGATTGCTGGAGAAACATCTTTGTCCTTGAGTAGGAAGGGGGTGGTGGGGGGACCCCTGCACAATTGCACAGATGGGAGGGGGGCCTCAGACAGAAACACAGTCAGTTCATCCCCAGCAACGGGGCTCAGAGTGTGGGTGCAGATGCTGGAAGGGGCAAGTGTAGTAAAGCGCACACGGAGGTGATTGTTGAAGTGCTTTTATTTTCTCAGTGAAATTCAGGAACACAATCATCAGCTGGGGTGAGGCTGGGAGGGAGGCTCTCAAAATACGTTCCCATCCAGCCAGTGGTGGCCTCTGTTCTCTGGGTGGTCACGGAGTCCACACCCACGACAGGACTCGGGTCCCGGAGATTATCCAGGGTGGCGAAGGGCCAGGCCTGTCATCTAAAGCACCTCTTTCTGCCCACAGGGCTGTCCAACCCATTCCGGGGTCTCCTGAAGCTGGGCACGGTGGAGCGGCGGGGGGCCATGGGCATGTGGAAGGAACTCTTCTGCGAGCTGTCCCCGCTGGAGTTGCGCCTCTACCTGAGTGGCAGGGAGCGCACCTGCGTGGAGACCTGCTCGCTGCTGCGCTGTGAGTCCGTGGGGCCGGCCCACAGCGACGGCCGCTTCGAGCTGCTCTTCTCTGGCAAGAAGCTGACCCTGCGTGCCTCGTCCCGGGATGAAGCCGAGGACTGGCTGGACCGGGTGCGCGAGGCACTGCAGAAGTGCCGGCCCCAGCAGGAGGAGGAGTGGGTGACCATCCAGTACCCGGAGCAGCCCGAGGACCCCCCAGAGGCCCCCCAGGGTGGCCACCCCGCCCCCTCGGACCTGCACACGGAGGCTGAAACCCCCCAGGGCCCGCAGTTCGACTGGTCCTTCTCCCAGGTGCCTGAGCCCGACGCTATCAAAGAGTCCCTGCTCTACCTGTACACGGACCGCACGTGGATGCCCTACATCTTCTCCCTGTCCTTGGAGTCCCTCAAGTGCTTCCGCGTGAGAAACAACGAGAAGATGTTAAGTGACAGCCACGGAGTTGAGACCATCCGAGACATCCTGCCGGACACGAGCCTCGGGGGCCCAGCCTTCTTCAAAATCATCACGGCCAAGGCCATCCTGAAGCTGCAGGCCGGGAATGCCGAGGAGGCCGCCCTGTGGAGGGACGTGTTGCGCAAGGTCCTGGCGTCCTACCTGGAGACGGCTGAGGAGGCGGTGACTCTCGGCGGCAGCCTGGATGAAAACTGTCAGGAGGTGCTGAAGTTCGCCACTCGGGAGAACGGCTTCCTGCTGCAGTACCTGGTGGCCATCCCCACAGAGAAAGGCCTCGACTCCCAGGGCTGCTTTTGTGCAGGTGCTGACTCGCTGTCCCCACCTCCAGCCTGCCCGCACTGGGGTTCCTGCTCTAGGCTTTGCACTCCTTCCTGCTCCCCACAGGTGCCCCCATACTGCCCCGGGGATGTTGCAGCATATTAAGCTGTTCCATGATCATATTATATTCTTCTAGAGCCAGGGCTTCAAGTATTTTTGCATGCTTTTACAAGTATACACAGGTATTTAATTACAAAAATAGACTCATACTACATGCTGGCCAATAGAACTTTCTGTGACGATGACAGTGTTCTAGAATCTGTGCCATCCAATAGTGTAGCTACAAGCCACGTGTGACTACTGAATACTTCGTGTGGCTTCCTAGTGTGGAAGGAACTGAATTTTCATTTGGTTTTAATTATATGTGTGTGTGCATGCTCAGCCGTGTCCGGCTCTTTGTGATCCCGTGGACTGAAACCTACCAGTCTCCTCTGTCCATGGAATTTCCCAGGCAAGAATACTGGAGTGGGTAGCCATTTCCTCCTCCAGGGGATCTTCTTGACCCAGGGGTCGAACCAACATCTCCTGGGTCTCCTACATTGGCAGGCAGATTCTTTACCACTGAGCCACCTGGGAAATCTTTTTTAATAATATGTTTAAATGGGCACCTGTGGCTTGTGGCCATGACTTTAGACAGCTCAGCTATATCTATTGTTCTGCAGCTTGGCTTTAATCCAGTTAGGAATATGTTATGCACGTTCTTCTACATCAATACATCTTCTCTGTCATTAGCATCATCAGATCCAGTCCTTCCATGCCAGGCACTGGGCCAGATGCTTTCTTTGGATTGTCTCATTTATTTTTTTTTTCATTTATTTTTATTAATTGGAAGCTAATTACTTTACAATATTGTAGTGGTTTTTGCCATACATTGACATGAATCAGCCATGGATTTACACCTGTTCCCTGGATTGTCTCGTTTAATCCTCACAACAACCCCCTTGGGATTTGTCTCTATTTATAGCTGAGGAAACTGAGTCACAGGACTGGTAAGTACCTGTCTCAGGTTCACACAGCAAGTGATGGTGGATCCGGAAGAGGACTTAGTGGTCCCAGAACCTGTGCTCTTAGCCAGACGTCCACAGGGCCTCTCCACTCCCATGCTTTCAAGGCCGCATGATACTCCCTTGCTCACCTCCCATTTCTAGGTCTTCTCTTCAGTCCAGACACCCATCTCCTTCAGCCCGGGCCCTCCAGCTGAGCTGTGAGGAGGTGGCCCTGCTGCATGGGGAGACGCAGCTGTGCACGGTCTAGGAGCCGTCCCGTCGGGGTGGAGCATGTGGGACTGGAGGGGAAAGCCTGCTTCAGGCATCTGAAGGAAGTGGTCTGCGGTTGGTCCCCCTCCCCCCACCCCCGGAGGATGGAGACGCTATGCAGAGCAGAGCTTCTTGCAGAAAAGTCTTCAAGCCCCTGTTCACCCCTTGCCCCCCTCCCCCACATGCCAGCCCCTAACACTCACACTTTGCCCTTTAACCCACGGGCTTCAGGTTCAGAGAGGAGGCCAGGCCCCCAGGGCTAGGAGGAGGGCTTCCCCACTGGGGATGTGGATGCTAGCAGGCAGCTCTCCCCACCCCTGCCACCACTATTCCCCCCACCCCCGCCAGCCCCCAGCCAGCCAGACTGAAACTGGGGAGCTTGGGCCTTCTTTCTGCCCACAGAGTTCTGTGGAGGGGCCACCAGCCTCTGACATCTGGCTTGTATCTCATAGTTTACTTTCAAAACCTCATTTAAACTTTGTAATAACCCCTACAAAGTAGCAAATAGTAGCTGAATTGGAACCTTGCAAAAATTCAGTGAGGGTCAGGATGAGACAGCCTATACACCAAAGAACCAGCCCTTCTAGTCTCCAGGAGGCTGAAGGGACGACTCCTGGCCCTGTAGGAGGCAGGGCCTGTGCTCAGGATTTCAGCCCTGCCTCTGGTGCCCTGGGCACACCCTACTTTCATCCCCTCTGCCCCCTGCTTTGGAGGGCTTCAGCAGAGGGGCTGAAGCTGGGCCTGCACCCCATCCCGAGGTAACAGGCCCTGGCTTCAAGCTGGCACCAGACCATGTCCACCATCTCCAGGTGGCTTCCCCTCTGGCTCCCTGTGTCCAGCCCCGTGTCCCCAGCTCCTGTCCTCCTTGCCGAGATCCTGACTCCCTGCTTCCATTCCTGGGCCCTGGTGGAGGGGTGGGTGAGCCTGGCGGCGGCTGGTGGAAACATCAAACAGAGGCAGTTAGGAATAAGAGAATGCGGGCTGTGCTCCAACCTGACCCATCTGTGCACCCAGTTGTGGTGTGACTGGGCAGGTTTCCTAACCTCTCTGCATCAGTTTCTTCAGCTGGGAAACAGTGACAATAATTCCTAACAGAGTTTTGTCGTAAAGGTTAATTACCAGAGTTGATTCTGATTGGTGGGAATATGAATGGCAGTTGTTATCTTCACGCTCTCCTTTCTAATCTGGCTGCTTTCCCTAGCTAGCAGGCTCTTCACCTTGGCAGCTCCTCTGTGGCTCAGGAGCTGACTCTGGCCCCACCGCTGCTCACCCTCCCTCTGCTCCTCTCCCCAGGCTGCTCCCGGCAGATTGGCTTCTCATTTGTACGACCCAAGCTCTGTGCCTTCTCTGGCCTCTATTACTGTGACATCTGCCATCAAGACGATGCCTCAGTGATCCCGGCCAGGATCATCCACAACTGGGACCTCACCAAGCGCCTGGTAAGTCTTGAGCCCAGCCTGTCATGGCCATACAGGGCTGCTGAGCGATAGAGAAGTGGTTGCTCCTCTTTGCTGCTGCCGTTCATATGTTTGGGGGAGTTTGACTCTAGAGAAGCCAGGGTCACTAGTTTAGGCCCCATGATGTTGGGGAGCTGACCAAAAAAGTAATTTGGTGCTGGTCTACAGCATCTGGGCAGAGCTCTGTCCACGCCTGCCTTGGCCTTCAGGTGGGAATCAGGATGGTTCACTGTAGCTCCCCATGGGCACAGATAAAACTGCTTGAGCACCAGCATAGATAGATAGGCAGAAATGATAGAATAGGTTAGATATAGAGGATGGGTGGATGGGTTAGGTGGGTAGTTGCATGCATGGGTTGAGGGGTGGCTTGGTGGATGAATATGAATGGATGGATGGATAGATATGTGGATGAATGTATAGATGGGTGGATGGATGAATATGCAGATGGTTAAATAATGGATGGATGGATGGATGAGTAGATGATGGATAGATGGATGGATGAATCGGCCAGCCAGCTGGCACACTTCCCCCTGGGAGCAGTCAACCTTTTCCAGGCATACAGGCATCTACTTTTCGTTACCTTTGGAATCATACTGGGCTCATACTGCTTTATAACATGTTTGTTCAGTTAGGATTACATCTTGGATACTTTTTGATGTTCACCAAATGCTTTTAAATATGATGTATTCTGCAGTCTTTCAGATTTTCCTTTCTTCAGCTGAGCTTATCTACTTACATAGCTGTGTTACCCTGAGCAAACTCTTCCACTTCCCGTTTCCTTCTCCATGAAGAGGGGTTAATTACAGTGCCTGTCGCCGGGCAGTGAGGGCTAAAGGAAACAGAACCACCAGTCACTTAGATGGTGCCCCTTCCCTTTCCTAAGGCCTCACTTCTGCCCCTAATTCATTCGATCAGGGTCTGCCTCAAGGGGTGCAGACTTGGCTTTCTCCCAAAGGCACAGGTTTCTCCTAAGACAACACACAGAAACAGAGGAAGTAGCTGTTGACTTCTCTCGAGACCCAGGCCTGCCAGCCATGCTGTCTCCTCATGTGTCCCCATCAGAGCCCAGAGAACATAATCCTCAGACCCGGTACCACCCTGACCTCCACCCCTGGGGATGGGAACACCTATTAGCTTCCCTCTGGTTCTCTTTCTCTTTTTTTGGCCATGTTGCATATGGGATCTTCGTTTCCCCACCAGGGATCGAACCTGCACCCCCTGCATTGGAAGCCCAGAATCTTAACCACTGGGCCACATTAGCTTAGAGAAGTCCCAACATTAGCATCACTTTGGCTTTTTTATTGGTTACTTCATCCTTACCCCTGCCCTCAGTGTTAAGTATTTAACTAACTACATGGAGAAAATTAAACCTCAAGATGACCACAAATGCAAAGAACCCTCTGGTCATAAAACACTCTCACCATTTACAACATCCGGATGCCCCTGTTGAGCCATCTCCCTATTCACTGCTGTTAATTGTGGTGCCACTTCCTTTTTCCAACTAGAAAATTCTAACAATTCCCTCAGCATACCTAAGGTCAGGAAGCATCCAACTCTCTCAAAGATGCCAGACCTGGGACAGGAAGGTTCAGAATAGGAAGTGGCTGGCTGGTAGGTTCGGGGTCCCTTGTCCACTGTCTGGCTGACCCACTTGTGCAAGGCCTGGCTGGTACTTGACAGGATGTCAGCCCCCGCCTGCAGCTTCTCCCGTTGTCTGTCTCCTCCACCCGTGGGGGAGTAACAGTCCCAGGAGAGCTCAAAGCTCATGCCTGTCTGTGTACTTGGCAGTTTTCAGCATGCATTCCTGCATGTTATTTCATCTGGGCCTCACCCTAAGCCTGGAGCTGAGTTGTGGGAAGGGCCGGGCAACAGCAGTCTGACCTGAGTCAGTGACTCACCAGGCCTTTGCCAGTGGGATGCCTGTCGGCTGGGGGCTGGTTCCTCAGGGCTCTGGGAAATGGGGAAAGATGGAGATATCAGTGAGGTGAGAAATGCTGGTGAAGCCGGTAGAGCAGCCCCTGGCCTAACAGTCTCCTGCTGGCCCTGTCCCATCCCCCGGGGCCAGTGGACAGACGCCTGAACCACACAGACACCCACAGAGTCTGATGGCAGCTCCCATTCACAGAGAAGCTACTTACCTGGATTTTCTTTTAATCTAAACTCAATCCCATGATGTAGGTGCTTTTCTTTCCCCCATTTTACAGATGAGAAAACTGAATCACAGAGAGGTTAAGTAAGTTTCTTGAGGTCATACAGTTGAGAAGGGGTGGAGCCAGGATCCAAAGCCGGACTAAGCACTGCAGGGTGATTGATGGTGGAGAACATCTCAGCTCCTCCATCCTTATCCTCCCCAAAGAGACTGCAGGGGAAGGGACTTCTCTTTGTAAGTGAGGAGGCCAAGGGTGCAGAGATAGCACTCAACTCAGACCTGGGCTCTGCTTTCTTTCTGGTGGCTTGGATAAGTCACTTTAGCTCCTCTGAGTCTCAGTTTCCATATCTGTAAAATGGGGATGATGATACTTTCCCCTCTGGGTTGTTGTGAGGATGAAGAAAAGGATGTGGTCGAGGTCTTTAGCCCAGTGCCTGGCAAATTATAGGTGCTCAGTAATTGGCGTTAGGGTCAGGGCTGAGGGTAGAACCTTCCACGTCTATCAAGTGGGAGAAACCCAGATCGATCACTCAGCTCCATATGGAGACTTGGAGGGAGGCCCTGCCCTGGTTGGTGCTGTTAGTGAGGACGGAAGAAGCTCGGGAAACCTCTGGTTCAGCTGTATCTGATCCATGGTTTCCTGTGGTTGGAGCCTGACTCAGATCGGTCACCTGGTTCCTGAGTCGGCCCAGGGTAATGTCTGTTTCCTTTCGGCAGAAAAATGGGGGTGGGGGCGGGGAGGCCAGGAAATATTGGAAAGGATCTGTGAGGCCCAGGCAGAGAGGCGTGTGGACCCTCCTTCCCGTCTCCGCGTGGTCAGGGAGGGGCAGCCGCTGGTGCCAAAGGGGAAGAGCGGGTTTGGAAGCCAGATCAACTGGGTTTGAATCCTGACTTATCTGAGCTGTGGGCCCTGGCCAAGTCACTTCCTCTCTCTGAACCTCAGTTTCCTCATCTGTAAAATGAAGATGGTACCGCTTCCCTCCTCAGGTGGCTGGAGGGGTGAGTGAGGGAGTAGGTGACCCAGCGCCTGGCGACCTCAGGCGCTCACCAGATGGCCCTCCTGTCTCTCCCTCGCCGCCCCGTGGTATCCGCAGGTCTGCAGGCAGGCCCTGAGGTTCCTGACACAGATCCGGGCCCAGCCCCTCATCAACCTGCAGCTGGTGAACGCGTCGCTGTACGAGCACGTGGAGCAGATGCGCCTCATCGGGAGGAGCCGGGAGCAGCTGAAGCTGCTGGGAGACTACCTGGGCCTGTGCCGGAGCGGAGCCCTGAAGGAGCTGAGCAAGAGGTGGGCGCCGGATGCGGGGACGCAGACAGACAGACACACAGACACACAGACACACAGAGACAGACACACAGAGACAGAGATACAGACACACAGACAGACAGAGACAGACACACAGAGACATAGACAGACAGACACACAGACACACAGAGACACAGAGACACACAGAGACACACACAGACAGACAGACACACGGAGACACAGACACAGACACACAGACAGACAGAGACAGACACACAGAGACACAGACAGACACACAGACACACAGAGACACACACAGACACACACAGACAGACAGACACACGGAGACACAGAGACACAGACACACAGACAGACAGAGACAGACACACAGAGACAGAGATACAGACACACAGACAGACAGAGACAGACACACAGAGACACAGACACACAGAGAGACAGAGACAGACACACAGACACAGAGAGACAGACACACAGACAGACAGACACACACAGACACAGAGAGACAGAGACACACAGAGACACACACAGACAGACAGACACACAGAGACACAGACACACAGACACACAGACAGACAGAGACAGACACACAGACAGACACACAGACACACAGAGACAGAGATACAGACACAGACAGACAGAGACAGACACACAGAGACACAGACAGACAGACACACAGAGAGACAGAGACAGACACACAGACACAGAGAGACAGACACACAGACAGACAGAGACAGACACACACAGACACACAGACACACAGACAGACACACAGAGACAGACACACACAGACACAGAGATACAGATACACAGAGATACAGGCATACAGACACACACACAGATACAGACATACACACAGATAGACACACACAGACAGAGAGATACAGATACAGACACACAGACACACACACAGATACACACACACACAGACACAGAGATACAGATACACACAGATACAGACATACAGACACACACACAGATACAGACACACACAGACACAGACACACACAGATACAGACACACAGACATACACACAGATACAGACACATACACAGACACACATATACTACACACAGGGTCAGTGCACAAGCAACTTGGGAGAAATGCCAGGGCTGGGTGGAGGACTCCCTCTCTGCATTTAGGAGTGGCTTTTATTTGTGTGTGTAATGCATTCATTCATTTGACAAGTGCTTATTGAGAATGCGCTCAGTGCCCGGCGAGGGGTGTGGGCCCCAGGGCTGAGCACGGTGGACTTGGGTTCTGCCCTCTGGAGGGCACGGCAGGGAGCAGGGCCACGGCTACCCCCAGGAGTGAGGGCGGAGGAGAGAGCAGGACGCCCTGGGGGTCTGACCCATATTGGAGGGGGCCGATGGTTGGGGGCTTCCTGGAAGAACTGACCTCCAGTGTGAGACCTGCGAAATGAATGGGAAAGAGGGGATTTGCAGGAAAGAGTGTTCCAGACAGAAGTAGTGATGTGTATGGGCTGTGGATGAAGGCCCCGTGTGTGGAAAGAACAGGGAGAAATTTTCAGGCAGTGAGAAGGGAAGTGGGGATGTGTGAGAGGAGGCCAGAGACGTGAGAGGGGCTGGTCTCCTGGCTCCCCAGGTTCCCATCAGCCCTCCGCCGCACGGCGGCTTGACTTTGCCGCCCTGGCAGCAGCCCTCCCCAAATCCTTGCAAGGGGACGAGGTTGGGGCGGGACCCTCAGGATGCCCTTCACAAAGCTGCTTGGTACCCAGTGCCTGGGGGGACTTTCAGTGCTCAGTTGGGGGTGAGGAGTGACACCTTCTGTGGGGCTATGCTGTCCTGGGGCCCCAGAAGGACAGACCTCGGGTGCATGAGCTGGTGCCTGCTGCCCAGCTAGGCTTCATTGCTGGTTTCTGGGGACTTGGAGCAGCTCACAAGCCCCTCCATGTTCCCTGTGCAGCCTCCCGACAGGGCTGGTGCAGACCCCCTGTCTGCTGGGCTCCCCTGCTCAATCCTGGTCCCTGTCCTCCCAGGGCTGCTCTGCATCTGAGAGGTGCTGTGGGGAGCCCTCTCTTAGGCAAAGCACAGAGGCTGACCCGTCACAGGCTCTCAGAGCAGCTAGTTGATCCCTGGTCTCCTCCACAGGGCCTGGAAGAGCAGAAAGCCCTCTGGGGGCCACCATGAGGGACCCAGATGGCTGCTTCTGGGGAGGCTATTGCTGTCTCCATCATCAGTGGCTCCTGGGTCCCACTCACTCCCCCTTTCTGAGATTCCAGGACCCAGGGCCCCAGAGTCTGCTCTCCTGCCCCCCGTCCAGGGTGATGAAATCTCAAGTCAGGTGGGACCTTGCGTCCCTCTTCAGTTCAGGGATGTCTGCAGACCTGAGTAGACCTGCTGCCTGTAGGGCGGGTCCTGGGTGCCAGCCTCACTTGCCCATCCCTACCCTGCTGAGATTGGTCAGCAGCCTTACTGGCCTGTCCAGGTTGCCCTGTCGGGCCACTGGGGGCGGTCTTGCCTCTTTCTCTCTGGCTGCTGTTTCCAGCCTTCATGAAAGCAGGACCAGACCTGCAGAAGTCCCATTTCAGAAGCAGCATAAGGTGAAGAAAGAGCTCAGGAGCACTTCACCTGGCCCCAGACTTGCTGTGCGACTCAAGGAAGTGGCTTCACTTCTCTGAGCCTCAGTTTTCTTGTCTATAAAATGGGCCAGTGATCCCCATGTTCATGTGACCTGCCGGAGTTGTGGTGAGGGCCACATGAGGGGCCCAGTGTCCAAGAAGGGACAGAGACAGGTGAACAGATGGCCCTGGGTCAGGGAGACGTGTGCTGTGAGGGAAGGAGGCAGGGTGCAGAGGGCCAGGGGAGCTTCTTGGAGGAGGTGGCATCAGCTGAAGGTTTGTGGAGTTTTCTTTTTCCTTTTAAAAAGAAAAAAAAAAAAAAAAGCTTTTCTTCTTTACAAGGATAGTATTCAGGTAGTATTAAAGAGAACCAAGCAGAGAGCTAGAGTCACCCTTCTCCAGTCTGGCCACTGTCAGTACTGTAAGCGCTTCCAGATCGCACTCTGTCCTCACTCACAGGAAAGCGGAGTTGCCCCAACACAAATGGCATGTGGTGAACCAGGGTTTAGCGAAAGAACCAGAGGAAGCCTGGGCCGGCTTTTCTGCAGGGAACCCATGGCTGTGGGGGTGGGGAGTCAGGAGGGTAGCGTGGGTTGCCAGGACCTTCGCAGGGCTCATTGCAGCCAGGTTGTGGGTACAGGGGCTAGACCTCGAAGACCCTCTGTGCCACCACAAAGGCATAGGATTTTATTCTCCTGGCAGCCGGAGCTGTTGAGGAGTTTTGAGCATGGGATGGTCACACTCCCATCAAGACCAGTTTGGCAGCAGCGGGGCGTGGGGGCTGGTGTGGTACCTGGCATAGGAGGTGAGAAGGCCTGGACTGAGGTGGTTGGAGTGGAGGCTGAGAGGACAGGAAGGGTTGAGGAGAAACTGGCAGATCTTGGAATCCCCTTTCTCTCAGGGGGCTGCCCTGACCTCCCCTCCACAGCAGCTGTAGGGCCTCACTGAGTGCCTCACAGGCCCACGGTAGGCGGCCTAGCTGGCCCCCTGGGCTTCCACGACTCTGAGCAGAGGGCAGACGACAGGGAGGACTCTCCATCCACCCTTCCTGCCGGCTCAGGAACAGCCTGTGCGCCCCCTCTGCCCCTCCCCCTGCGTTTTCCTGATGATAAACGGCAGCTTCCGGTTCCCAGAAAGCCGGAAGTTCCCCGGGGAGACCGGCACGTTGCGCTGAGTGGCCACTTGGCAGCACACCACGGGCTGCCTGGTGGAACTCGCCATCTTGGCCCCGGGTGGGGTTCCTCCTGGAACCGGGGCTGTGCCCTGGGGTGGGCACAGCCAAGCATCCACTCCAGATGCCGCAGCTCGGGCACCTTCCTGCCTCCAGATGTCCGGAGCACCCTGGGGCAGGCTCCCGCACGTCCTCGAACTGGGAGAGTTCTCCCCCCAACCCGACTACCGCACAGACACACAGCAAGGCCAGGCAGGAATTTTTTGCAGGTGTTTCCTGTCCATCTCTCAGGATGTAACCCTTGGGATCTCTGCCATTGGTGAGGTGGAAACTAGAGCCAGGCTGCTGGCAGCTAAGCCCTCATCCTCTGCCCCCCACCCCTACCTCTGAAATGGGATCTATGCACTCAGGTCACCTCCACTCCTCTCCCAGAGCGCCAAAACCAGATGCTTAAATGTCTGTCCCTAAGCTAGACCATGGAGGAGGCAGTGGCACCCCACTCCAGTACTCATGCCTGGAAAATTCCATGGACGGAGGAGCCTGGTAGGCTGCAGTCCATGGGGTGGCTAAGAGTTGGACACGACTGAGCAACTTCACTTTCACTTTTCACTTTCATGCACTGGAGAAGGAAATGGCAACCCATTCCAGTGTTCTTGCCTGGAGAATCCCAGGGACGGGGGAGCCTGGTGGGCTGCCGTCTATGGGGCCGCACAGAGTCGGACATGACTGAAGCGACTTAGCAGCAGCAGCAGCAAGCTAGACCAGAGGCTACAGTAGGAAGGCAGAGGCCACGTCCTGTGCATTTCTGTCCTAGCACTGTCCATGGTACGTGATGGTGGCAGTAATGGCAACCATTAATAACAGCCTCTAGGCATTCACCTGCGAGATAAGGACGCAGGCTCTGGAGCCAGAGCTGCTTTCAGACTCCAGCTGTGCCTCTTACTAGCTGTGTGACCACAGGCAAGTTCTTTACCTTCTCTGTGCCTCCATTTCCTCTTCTCACAATGAGGGTTATAAAGCGTCAACCTCACAGGATTCTCGTGAGAACTAAATGAATTAATATATCAAGCTCTTAGTCCAGTTCCTGGCTCCAAGTATTAGCTTTCTTTTTTTTTTTTTAAGCATTAGCTTTCATCATCCTCCTCATCATTATTTTTTAAATATATTTTTTAAAATATCTTTAAATTTTTTTTTCAACTTTATTGAGTAAAATTTACAAAATTGTAAGATATTTATAGTATTTTTTGTGATGATTTGATATATAATTATACTGTGAAAGAGTTCCTCCCATTTTATTAATTCACACATCCATTATCCTCACATATTTTATACATATTATATATAATGTATATATGAAAAGTGAAAGTGTTAGTCACTCAGTCATGCTCAACTCTTTGTGTCCCTAAGGACTGTAACCCGCCAGACTCCTCTGTCCATGGAATTCTCCAGGCAGGAATACTGGAGTGGCTTGCCGTTTCTTCCTCCAGGGGTTCTGCCCGACCCAGGGATTAAACTTGCATCTCCTGCATTTCAGGCAGATTCTGTACCATCTGAGCCACCTGTATAGTGTGTGTGTGTGTGTGAGAGAGAACATTTGAGTTCTGCTCTTGAATTTCAATTATACAATACAATGCTATCAACTATGGTTAATAATTATTCATTTACTATGTACAAGGCACTGTGCCAAATGCTTTAAATAAATTATTTAATCCCCAGAAGAGCTCTCTTGCTCAGGTGAGGACACCTGAGGTTCAGAAAGGTTTAGGAACTTGCCCAAGATGCTGACAGCTGGTCACCTGAAAGTCCAGGTCCCGAGCCCAGGCTGAAGCTGTTTCTCCCTGGTTAGCAGCGCGGAGGAAGTGAAAACAAACACAGGTGGGCCCAGATTCCTTCTGAGGAACCTCTTGTCTTTTCTTTGAAGGCTCAACCACAGGAATTATCTCTTGGAGTCACCTCACAAGTACAGTGTCGCCGACCTCCAGCAGGTGAGAACGCCACCCCTGAGGGGTGTGTCGGTCGCTCAGTCATGTCTGACTCTTTGCGACGCTTTGGACTGTAGCCTGCCAGGCTCTCTGTCCGTAGGGTCACAAAAAGTCCAGGCAAGAATACTGGAGTGGGTTGCCATTCCCTTCTCCAGGGCATCTTCCCGATGCAGGGATGAGACCCGCGTCTCCTACACTGCAAGCAGATTCTTTACTGTCTGAGTCACCAGGAAAGCCCAGAGGAACCTAATTCCTAGAAACTTATTCCTGGAGAAATCAGAAAGGGAGATGTTGGGGCAGGGGCTGCTGCCTGCAGTTTACGGAGGCAGGACGACCCATCTTCAGCCTTTCAGCAGCTCAGAATGGGTGTCTGGCCGTCCACACTTCCTGGGGCAGTAACTGAGCCCTTGGCCCCACTGGGACAGGCAGGCACCACAGCCAAGCCCAGGATCACAGGGCTCGGCCCCCTTCCAGGCTGCGAAGGCGTAGGGAGGGTGAGGGTTTGGGACATTCCTTTCCTCGAAGGAGGGGACCGTGGATTCCTGTGTGCAGAGGGACTGCACGCCTGCGTGGCTCGGCCTCACTTGGGGAGGTTTTCTTGCCCAAGTGGAAGGAAACTTCTCTTGGGGTAGGAGTACTCCAGGCAGGATGCCAGGAGGAGCAGCAGGCCACATTTTGCAGACAGCCTCGGGCCTGGCACAGCCTCTCAGAAGGCCTTGGTGGCCGGCGCTTGCCCTCCACAGATCGCGGACGGGGTGTACGAAGGCTTCCTCAAGGCCCTGATCGAGTTTGCCTCCCAGCATGTCTACCACTGCGACCTGTGCACCCAGCGCGGCTTCATTTGCCAGATCTGCCACCACCATGACATCATCTTCCCCTTTGAGTTTGACACCACAGTCAGGTATGCAGACACTCTGCCAGCCCCCCTGCTTCCCACCCCTGGGTGGGGGGCAAGTCCCAGGGGCCACTGAGAGGGGGACGAGCCGAGCCCTCACAGGACTCCCTGCCTCCCCCGAGCCGCCCATCTTCCGAGAGAAGAGGTAGCTGCTGCCCCTTTGAGTCGCATGGGAGGACCTTGGTTTTGTCCTCTGCAAACAGGTGGAGGGGGGGCTGGGTGAGTTACTGGCCTAGAGTGTTGGCACAAGGCCGGGCACAAAGTGGGCACCTGGTGGGCAGTACCTGCCACTGCCTCTGCCCCATAACGATTGTCCTCAGTCATCCCTCATTATCAGAAGCCTCTAAATGGAAAGAGGCCTCCACCAAGCCTCCATTCCAACCCATGTGGGAGTGGAAAACTGAGCCAGTGGGAGCATCCATTCATTTTCAGTAGGTGTCCCCAGACCCAAACTCGACCCCCCGAAAAGACCTAGGGCTGAGTTTTTTAAACTGTAGAGTGTTTGGAACACAGGCAAGGAATCATTGAGTCTCCGCAGTATTTATAAGAAGGGAAATACAATAGAGGGCATCTGTGTGCATCGTGGGGCTTAGAGATCAGCACCGCGGCGAGAACCTTTTGTCCCAGGATGGAGAGGCAGTGCCGAGTACCGTGGGTGGCCGGCTCTGGTCAGGAGCACCAACCAGCCTCGAGCCTCAGAGGCTCGAGGTCCCAGCAGCGCTTGCGGCTTTCTCCCAGGTGCGGCGAATGCAAGACCGTCTTCCACCAGACCTGCCAGGCCGTGGTCAAGAAGGGCTGCCCCCGCTGTGCCCGCCGGCGCAAATACCAGGAGCAGAGCAGTCTCACCTAATCCCGCCCCTTTTCCCCACCCGGGACCCGGGGCTCAGCCATCCCAGCCGGGTTGGCCACCAGCCTGGCCACACTCTCACGGTGTCACAGAGCCAGGAAAACTCTCGGGTGAGACCAGAGCACTGGCCTACGAGAGGGAGCCCCGGGAGCCCCTGATGACACCTCCTGCCCCCCACCCACCTGCTCCAGGAGGTGCGGACACCAGCAGGTGCCCCCTGTCCGAGGGTGTGGGCGGAGGGGGGGCTTTGCACTAATTGGCCCGGCTCCCCTCACTGACACCCATCTCCATGAGGGCTGTTCAACACTGTGGAAACAAGACTTGGGGAGCATTTTCAATTCCACATTCCTGATTAAAAGGTCTAGTTTTTTTAAGGTGGGTTTTTTTTCCCTTCATATTTCAACAGAAAATATTTTTTTATTCTTGACCCTCCACCAGTCACCCAAGAAATCCAGGTTCTCACCCTGAGCAGATCTGTAGAAACCGCTCAGGCCCAGCTTGGAGGTGGGTGGTGGCCGGTGGACAGGCCCCCCCAGGACAGAGCCCACCAGCTGGCGGGTGCCTTTCCTTCGCCCTCACCGGGCGCTTGCTGCTGACAGCTCCTGTACAACGTGCCAAACTGCCGTGGGCCAGGCGGGCCCAGTCCTGAGGATCACGATCTTTCCCCTCCACCCCCATCTGCTCCCTGGTCCTCCCTCCACCTGAAAAGCCCATCAATTTCTCTGTGTCAAAACCCACCCCCCACCCCTTCTGCGGCTCTCCTGTAGCCTGGGATCTTGGTCCCGATGGAGGAGGGCTATGACTCGGAACCAGCACTGTCAGCACTTTGAGCCTTCCTTGGTCCAGGGGAGGATCGTCATCATCTAGCCCACCCCTCAGCCCCCTGCCCTCCTCACTCCTGCTCCTGACTGGCAGCCAGATGGGCAGGGGGCTGCTGCAGACACATTTCAGGAATGCACCCCCGCCTCACGGACCCCGCCGGGACCGAGGTAGGCTGTGTCCACACTGCCCCCCCACCATCCTCCCACGAAGAGCGCCAGCCCTGCTGCAGAGATGTGCAAGGACATGCAGGAGAAGCCACCCGTGGAAGGATGCTCAGCCTGTTTATGAAGCCATGAGTTCACAAAGTTCTGCTGGACTAACCCAGGAGGGCTGCTGCCAAGAGATTGGAACATTTCACTGGAGCACAACTGCCTTTGGAGGGGGTCTTCAGGTGGAGCCTGAAATTGTTTTCAAAGCGATATTTAGACCCTGGGGCTTTGTTGGGGGGGCATGATTTCTCTGTTGCCTCCCCCCACTTCTGGACCCAGCAGGCCCCCCTCAGCCCTGGGACCCCCCTGACCATCTTATCTGTGCTCAGCTGAGATTGGAGGCCTCAGGTAGATATCCACCTTCACTGTCAAGAGACGAACCCACTCCCACCTCTCCCTTGGGGTGATTCGGCTGCTGAGTCACCTGCCCAGCCCTGTGGAGCTGGATAAATTGTGCAATAGAATGGAGGAGGTGGTGGGCGGGTCAGGGAAGGGGCTGTCACATAGCTTCTTTGTCCCCATCACGGAAGCTGGTGCACACCTGTGCTCAGCCTCCTAAACCAGAAAGTGGATCCTTAGCCCCACCCCCACCCCCACCCCCACCCCCAGCCAGCATTAATGCTCCACCAGAAACACAGCCTGATCAGAGCCATAATTGGTGGTCTTAGGGTGGGCAGCACTGCCTGAACCCAGCCCTGTGAGTGTATTCTGTATCCCAGAAGATCCCTAGGTGGCAGCGGGAGTGAGGCCCTGGAGAAGCCCACTTTGGTTCAGCGGGGGCTGGCACACCACACTCCCTACCTTCTCTGGGATCAGTAGCATTAAAGCTGACCACCCCCCTCCCTACCACCAAAAAGCTGCTGATACTTTCAGATGAGTTGATTCACCCTCTTCACCTCCAGTGGAAAGCTGGTATGAACCTCAGTAGTGCCCACACTATTTTTAAAATTTCGTTTTATGCAATAACCTGTTTCTAGAGGGCCCTGGCCCTGAGAAGTGCTTTGCCATGTACCGGAGGAACTGCGGCCATGTGACTTTTGAGTGATTTTGCAGTAAAGACCTGCTGTTTCTAATCTGTGGTCTGGTTTCTGAATCTGAAAGCTGTCACTGACTGGGGAGACCACAGGCGCTCAGATACTGTCTGATAGCCTTCACTGTTTTCTCAGTCCCTGGGCACAAGGGAGGGCTGGAGGGGGGTGGTTGTAGGTAAACATTTGCAAGCAGGGGGCTTGTGTGCCAGGAGTGAGCACGGAGAATAGTAGAAGTAATTCTTCAGTCTGTCTCCCGACCTGGCCTCTCCTCCCAGTCAGCCCTCCACCCCACCATGGGGTAGGATTTCAGGGCCTTTGGGGAGGTTCATTCACATACACTCATGTAAGTGAAGCGAATGCCTGGAATCCCACTGTGATGGCTTCTTTCCTGTTCCTTAAATGTCAAAGCACAGACCCCTGACACTGGAACGTGTGAAACCATTCCCCATTGGTCATCCAAGGTGAGAGAAGAGGCTCCGGAAGGAAAGGCTTGTGAGCAGGGCTGGATTCAGGGCTCATGGTTTTAGGGCTCCACCTGGCCTTGGCTGCCAGCTTTCCTCTGAAGTTCCAGCAGAAGTCTGGGGGTGGGGAGGGCCTGCAGGAGGAAGCCCACTGCTGCCCTTGTAAAGACAGAAGAAGGAAACAGGCTAATTCCCAGGGAAATCAGGGTGCAGGAACTTGGGACTGAAAGATTGATGTCTGCAGTTTCCTGTCCTTGGGGCAGCCTTTCGGCCTTTGAGGGAGCGCACTCTGCCCATTGCAGGAGCCCCAGCTTCCCTCGAGGGCAGGAGGTGGTGGGCTCCGAGGAGCCCTGAGGGACCTGGTGGGAAGAGGCCGGGCCCAGAAGAGCACACGGCCTATGTGCTGCCTTTGGACTCAGTCGTCCATCCTTAGCAAGCTGTTTCTGAGAATACTTGTTTCTCCCTTCCCCCTCCTGCCTAAAGGAGGATGGCAGATGGGGAGTTTGGAGACCCCAGTTCAACCCCAAAGAGGAGGGCTCATCTCATAGTAAAACTAGTGATAATAATAACTCTTCAGATGTGTGTTCTTACAATGTGATGATAACAATACATTAGCCTGACCTGCTGCAGTCCATGGGGTCACAGAGAGTCACAACTTACAGCAACAACAACAACAATCCTATGAAGTAGGTGTTACTGTCCCCAGTTTACAGGACAGCAAACTGAGATGCAGAGATAAGGTGAGCATCTTGAGTACAACCCCAGGAGGTTGCCCTGAGCTTTGACGATTGGCCGGTGGGGGGGCTCCTCCCCCGGCAAGGATCAAGGCCAGGGGTGGGGGAAAGGGGATGGAGTAGAGCAGCAGTGGAGGGAAATCTGGCCCGGCTTCCTCCCCGCTCATCCCACCGTCCAGGCTCTGCTGCCTTCCTCCAGGAGACAGCCAGGTGTGGCCCAGGATCCCCGGGAGGTGCAGGGGAAGGGGGTGGCGTCTGCGCTCCTCGGGCGCTGGCCCGTCCCAGAGAGGACAGGAAGCCAGGACACCGGGGATTGTCTCTCGCAGCCGCAGCCCCAGCCCCGGGAGGAAGTTCTGCCGGGTGCTCTCCGCCGGTGCCTCCCTCGCTATATTGTTGAACAGGAAACAGGGCAGCGCGGGAGCTGGGCTGTGGACTAGGGAGCACCGGACGCCGAGCCCCCCGCGCGCCTGCCAGGACAAGTGGAGGCGAGGCCAGCGAGCGGACACCCCGAGGTGCCTGGGCCGGGCCGGACTGGTTGGCGGTGCTGATCTGGGGTGGGGAGGAGGACTGCAGGTGGCGGGGTCCTCACCCGGCAGCACCGCGCAGAAGCGGGAGCTGCGCGGTCTTGGAAGGAGGGCGGTTCGGGACGGATCTTCCCCTTGCTCGGGAGGAGGTGGGAAGCGAAGGGCTGCCCGCCGTCCTGGGGGAGGAGGGGCCCAGGTCCAGGCCCCCTGCGACGACCCAGGCGTGGGTGCCGCTGTGACTCTTGTCTGTCTCCCAAGCCATGGGCGCAGGGCACCTCCTGGTTAAGAGTCGGTCCTCGCGCTCCAGGGACCCTCCCCTCTCCCCCGATCCCTCTCCTCTTCGCTCCCCCCAGGATCGGGGAAGGAGCCGAGCACCGGGTCCCCTCCCCACCCAGCCAGTGACCACGCGCTCCGGGGAGCGTCTCTGCAGTGGGAACCCCGCTCCAAGTTTTTCCAGGCCTGGCCGAGCTGAGTTCGGAAAGGCCCTGGGGAGGACGAGGATGGGACCGGAGCGGCAGTGCCTGCAATCCGGGTGGTTCAGGATGCAAATAACCTTGCTAGGACTGGGAACGCTCCGGCTAGATGGCAAGCCGGGCGAGCAGTCCTGAAGCATCGCGTCGGCGGGACGCAGAGCCTCTTGGAAGCCGTATCCCGAGCGTGGGGGTGGGGCGCGGCGGGGGCCGGACCCTACCCTCCCTTGGCTCCACTCGTGAACCTTCCGTGCCCCTTCGGCCGCAGCCCTCCCTGCCCCTGTCCCTCCCTCAGGCCTTCTCCAGCTCAGGTCCCGCCTCCAAGGCCCCACCGGCCCAGGCGGATTTCTTCAGGCCCCGCCTCGCCCCTCCCAGACACCGCCGCTTCGGGAATTGAAGGCGGTCCTTCCGAGCGTCGCTCACCTTCTTTGCTCTCTTTGCCAGCTCCAGCTCCCTGAAGTCTCTCCAGCCAAGCCGTCTGAAAACCCCGCCCAAGGAGATGGCAGGGCCCTAACCTGCATCCATCCGCCGGCTCCACCCAGCCCGCCCATGGGCTCCGCGAGGCCAGCCCTGCCGACGTGAGTGAGCGGCAGGGGCTCCGGGGGAAGGTGGCGAGAAGGGTGTCCTCCCTAAGCTTGGTTGGCTTAGCTCCAGTCAGCTCAAGGACCCCGCTTCCAGGGCCCAGAGTGCTCAGTGGCTCAGTTTACACTCCTTCCCCGTCGAGGAAAGCTTGAGAAAGTAGAGAAGGAGCGCTAGGCGCCCCGCGGCCAGACCCTGTGCCTCGGGTCCCTCAGACTCAACCAGAGGCCGAGCTCCCACCTGCACCTGCTGGTCCCAGGTCACCATCGTGGGGCAGTCGGTGTGGCCGATGTAAAGGCTTGGAGGGACCAGCCTCATAGACGGGCTTCCAGTTAGGCTGTGACCGCCGCTCCCCCGACACACCAGGAGAGTGGGTTGTGGTGTTCACTCCGGGAGAATTTAGGAGGTCCCTTGGGTACACCGCACGGATAGTCAGTATCAAAGAGTGTATTCTCTAGGGGCCACTCTCGTGGGGCAATATAGAGATCGCGGGCAGGGGGCAGGCCGCGAGGGCCAAGCCTCTCTCTGGACGTGGAGGTGGGAGCCGGAGCACAGGGGGCGGTGCTGGTCGGTCTGGGCGGGCGGGGCTCCGGGGTCACGTTTGTGGCTAAGCCGCTGGGGAAGGAAAGAGAAACCAAGAGAACCGGTTTCCCCGGCCTTGGCAGTCGCGGCCCCTTATGCCAAGGCCCTTGGACTACGCAGGGCAGGGACACTCCCAGAGTAGAGCGAAGCCGGGGCCGCTCCCAGAACCTGCGCCCCAACTCTGTCTCCCTCGGGCCTGGGGCGCACGCGCCGGGGTGCGTGGCTGGGGCGATAGGAGCTGCCGAGGACGCGATTCCCTGAGGGCTCCTGGAAGTGTCGGGACAGGGCGGGATGGAGGTATAGGCTATTTTCCCACTTTACAAATGCGGGAACTGAGGCCCAGTCAGTTTTTATGCACACGTGATGTCAACTTTATCGCGGGCAGTACCCCCCAACTAGCCTTAAAGCTTCCCTGGCTTTAAAGCCGGACCGGTGTTAGCCACCATCTCCCCACCGAGGGATAGAATTTTATACTCCAGAATAAAAGGGCTGTCTTAATTCCATCGCTGCGTGTAAGAATTAGAACCGTAGAAATTATTTCATCCAAGCCCCGCGTTTTCGAGATAGGAAAACCGAGGCCCGAACGTACACAACGATTGTAGCTTCGGGACTCGAAGTCTTCGGGCTCCCCTGTGCGGAGCGCGGCCCTCTGGGCGGCCCTGACCTCCGCGCCCCTCCTCCTCGTCGCCCACAGGGACACGCGGCGGCCGCGATGGCGGCGGACGTCGAGGGGGACGTGTACGTGCTGGTGGAGCATCCCTTCGAGTACACTGGCAAGGACGGGCGCCGCGTCGCCATCCAGCCCAACGAGCGCTACCGACTGCTGCGCCGCAGCACCGAGCACTGGTGGCACGTGCGGAGCGAGCCGGGCGGCCGCCCCTTCTACCTGCCGGCGCAATACGTGCGCGAGCTGCCGGCCCTCGGCCACCCCGCGCCCGCCCCGCCGCCGCCCGCGCCCCTCCAGGGCCCCGCAGCTCCCGAACCGCTCGCCTACGACTATCGCTTCGTGAGCGCGTCGGCGCCCGCCGAACCCGACGTCGCCCCAGCCGAGCCCCGGGGCCGCGCGGGCTCCCTGTGCGGCCGAGCTCGACCGGGCGCGGCCACCCAGCGTCGAAGCCTGGCGCCCGGCTCGCCAGCCTGCCTGTACACGCGGCCCGCGGCGCCCGTGAGGCCCGCGCAGTCCTTGGACGACTTGGCCCGCACCGCTGCGCCCCCTGCCGGCCTCCTCGGGAGCGGGGGCGGCTTCAAGGCCTGCAGCGTGGCCGGCTCGTGGGTGTGCCCGCGGCCCCTGGCGCGCAGCGACTCCGAGAACGTCTACGAGGCCATCCGGGACGTGCGCGGCCCGCCGACGGAGCAGCGGCCGGAGCAGGTACGCCACCGGGAGCCGGGAGTGGGGAGACGGGGGGGGGGGGGGGGGCGGGGGTTACTCCCGCCGTCCCAAAGCCTGGACGCTGGGAGACCCCCTGAGCCTTACGTCTCGGCTCGACGGAGCAGCAGTGTCTGCCGGCTTTGGACCAACTCGCTCACGCCGAGCCTGACTTTGCTCAACCACGAAACCAGAGGGGTACAGACTCACTCAAGATTTCTTATCTCCAGTTCCCAAATGCCAAGGCTCCCTGGAGCCCAAAGGCTTTTGTAACTCAGTTAATGGCAGAATTTAACTTGAACCGATGTGCGGCCGTGGGCAGCCTTAATGTGTACCCCATTTAGTGTGAATATTCAAGTTTTGCTATAGAAGTGCAAGTAAACCCGATCATACAGTGCCGTCCAAGCCTTGCTGGGAGCATTATGTCACCTGAAGCAGGTGCGGGCCCGTTACCTTTCTAAAATCCAAACCATTCCAAAACACATCTGGAATGAAATAAGGAATGGTAGTGGACTGCCGCCACCGCCTCTACCTGCCGCGCGTTTCTCACATGAGCTTGGGTGTCGGAGGAGATAATGGATGTGAAAGTCAGGGGTCTGCTTCCTTTTTTGGCCTGTTCCAACATTTTAGTTCCTCTTTTTTTTTTTTTTCAATTTCGATGGGTTTGTTTCAGAAATAAGTCCAGTTATAGTGAGGATATTCTTTTCGCCTCAGAATCGGGTTATGTAAATTTGGGGATTTCTGAAATAATATTTAAATATTATTTTTAAAATAGGGGCACGTTTTAAAAAGTCTTACAATTTCAGAATCCTTTGCTGGCCCAGACTTCTTCAAGTTTAGGGACTTTTGCAGGAGAGATGGGGTGAGGGGGGGTGCACAGGGCCCCTTCTGACATCTGCCGCAGCTGTGTAATTATGGGCAATCCACTTCCTCTCTCAGAGTCTGTTTGCGTTTAGACCAAGAGGCTAGGGGACGGTGGAGAGATGACTCTTGAAACTTGTGAGTCTCTGATGTCCTTTTTTGGACCCGATATGATTAAAATAAATATTGATGCCTGCCACGTGCAGAGACTGAGTCTGGGATGCACAGAGGAAGGAGGCACCGTGCCCATCTGCGAGGCCCCTGGTCTTCTTATAGCGCAGTGTTCAGGATTTGAGGCTACACAGAGGCGACTTTGACTCTGCTGGGTCACCTACCAGCTGCTAAACGAGTCACTTCTTCATTCCCCCCACCACGGTGCCTTCTTGTGTACACGCAGAACAATATCAAAGGATTCGGGTTGTTGAGAGCCTTAAAAGAGGTGAAGCGTGGAAGTGCTTGACACGTAGTAGGCGGTCTGCCAAGACTGGCTGAGGTCCCACTGGGTATCTTTTCCTCTGGGCCCGCTCCACCTTTGCTACGGTTTTTGCAAGAGGCACCAGCCCTCTGGTGGCCGGAATGGGGAACAACGTGCGGCGTGCAAGGAAAGAGATCAGGACCCGGACCCAGAGGGGAGAGAGCTGAGGAGGTGGAGGGTGATGGAGTGGAACCTTTGCGCCAAGCGCCTCTGCCAGCCCACCATCTAGCTATTCCATCTTCTCTGGAATATATGGCTGCACGCCTGCTCTCCTTGCCCTTGGCGCCGCTCCGTTTCTTCGGCAGGCTCTCGCACCTCTCCACACTCTCTGACCTTGTGACCGTGAGAATATCTATTTGGCTTTTGGAGGTGCACTGCTCCCTTCTAGAGGTGGGGGACTGGCCTTGCTCTCTGAACCCCAGCTCCTGGCATCGAGCCTGGGCCAGAGCCTTACGGAATGTGCTGAGGAAGGACGAGGAGAGGCAGCTCCCTTAACCATGAACCCAGGCTCTGCAAGTCTGCCCAAGGGGCACCACGGCAGAACCCAGGACCACGGTGGGAGAGGAAGACCTCTCGTCCAGATCCCAGTACCTCCTGAGCTCAAAGAAAAATCATCCCAGCTGCCAGAGTCACTCCACCTCCAGCTTCCCGCAGCTGCAGTGGTGTGTTAGGAGTAGATGGACATAGATGATCAGGGCTTGTACCCGGAGGAACTGGGGTGTCTGCCAGAGACCTGGGTTTCTGCTGAGATGCTCTGCTCAGCCTCCGCTCTGGCCCTCATTCACTGTGTGACCTCAACAAGTGACTTAGCATCTCTGGTCCTGTTTCCTCCCTGGGGTAATGGGGATAAGACCACACTCCCTGTGGCCAGGTTTTCTTTCAGTGTCAGCTATCGGCCTCCCTTGACACTCCATCCAGGACAAACTCCAGGGGAAGGGAGTTGGTTCCCTCCTGGGAAGGAAGTCCCACCCTGCTCTCTGTTCACAGCAGCACTTAGAGAAGGAGTTTCTTGAAAGGTGAGCCTGCCCATAACCTCCTTGGAGGAGAAAGTTCCCACCTTTCCCCTCCATTCACTAAGTATGAATTGATGGAATACCTGCCTTTGGATCTAAAGGCGACCGAGGCACGGCTCCAGCTCTGGGGGGTTCACCGTCTGGGTTGGGAGACTGGCAGGGAGGGACAGATCTTCATTGTGGGGCACAGGCCGTCTGTGATGGAGCTACACTCGAGGTGCTGAGATGTGTGGGCAGAGGCGAAGTGTGAGAAGATGTGGCACCTTTGGGACCTTACAGGTGGGGCTCAGGGATGGGAGTGTGGGGTCGGGAGTGGATAGTGTCTTGCTGAGCAGGGGCTCATGGGCTCTCAGCAGGAATTTGGACTTTATCCTGCAGCCATTGGAGAGCTCTCAGCAGAGCGGGGAAGGAGATTGAGGGAAGACCCCTGCGGCTGGGCCTTGGAGAGTGATGAGGACCTTCATGGTCTCCCAGGCACGTAGCGATGGCGGAAGATTTGGGAGGCAGGCTGGGTGGGACCTGGTGGCCAATGGGCTGAGGGGGTGGGTAGGAAATCAGGAGGAGTTCCAGTCTCCCAGTTTGCACACTGGCACTGACGGTGGTGCTGTTTGCAGCCTGGATAACCGGGGAGGAGGCGGTGGAGGAAAGATGCGATGCCCACTCTGTCCATGCCTGGTTCCAGTCCGGGACAGCTAGGACTGCTGCCCAGGAAGAGGCCCTCGGTGTGTGATAGTGGAGCGATGGGTGTGGACAAGAGCGCCTGAGACAGCCCCAGGGCCACAGCATTTGGGTGATAGAGGGAGGAGAGAGGAGCGAAAGAGGAAAGAACAGCCAGGGAACAAGAAGGAAAAGCAGCAGAGTACTGGCCCAAAAGCCAAGGAGTATCCAGGAGAAAAGAGAAGTGAGATAAAGGCCACTGAGCTTTTATCAGAAGCGGCCACCAGAAGGTCAGCGGCTACCTTATCAGGAGCAGGTCCAGCGGTTGCTGAAGGCAGAGAGCAAAGGGGCAGAGGAATGAAGGTTGAGGACACAGGTGCAGAGTGTAGACAATTCTCAGAAGCTAGACAGAGAGGGGAGACGCTATGTGGCCAGGTGTGGGTGTAAATCTTGGGTGGAGGCTCCCCAGAATCTCCTGAGAAGGGCAGGAAGACAGGAGGCAGAGGATGGTGAGGAGGTAGATGAAGAGATTCCACCCCAGGAGAAAGAAGTGAGGAGCAGAGGCTGGGAGCAAGGGGGAGAAGGGGGAGGGGGGAGGGGGAGGAAGGGGGAGGGGGAGGGATGTGTGGATGGAGGTGACGTGGGGTCATCAGAGCAAGTGGGGACAGTGTCCAGTGGATGGACCATCGGATGAGGGGAGAGGGTGGTGAGGAGGGCAGAATGATTGGCAGAGGCAGGGACTGGTGCCCCTAGAAGCGACGCGCCTCTGCCACCGGGGGCATTTCACCAGTCACTCAGCTAGGTTAGCACGCAGTGAGCACCTGCTGTGGGTTGGCCACTGGGGCACACAGCCTGGGAAGACATGACAACCCCTGTCTCAAAGGGGCTAACAGGTCTACGAGCTCTCACTCATCCTGTGAGCTCTCACCCTCCCAGTGTTCACTTTGGCAAAACATAAATTCAAATTGGAACAATACAGAGGAGATTAGCATGGCCCCTGAACAAAGATGACACGGAAGTTGGTGAAGTGTTCCATATTTCAAAAACAAAACAACTCATATTCCCAGTGGCTTGGAAGGCAGGCCTGGGCACACCCCACATTTGCCCTGAATACAGACAGAGGTTCAAAGAGGTTTAGTGACTGACCAAAAGGTCACACAGCCAGGAGGAGGCGGTGTCAAGATCAGATGCATTCCTCCAGACCCCAAACCCCGGCTGAGTCCCAGGCTTTCAGCCTTGGCCACCCCGTTCCCCTCAGCAAGGACAGTACAAGCCCAAGGCAAACAGGTATTCACCTTTCAGAGTGCCCTGTCACGGGCACGGGGGCAGGGAGGAGGCAGGAATTCTCTGCGCCTGATGGTGAGGTGGGAGAATGAGATGTCCCAGGAGAGGGTAGAGTGCCTTCCTGGTGGCTCAGTGATAAGGGGCCCGCCTGCCAGTGCAGGAGACGCGTTCCACCCCTGGTCCAGGATGATCCCCTGGAGAAGGAAATGGCAGCCTGCTCCCGTGTTCTTACCTGGAAAATCCCATGGACAGAGGAGCCTGGCGGGCTACAGTCCATAGGGTCGGACACAATCGGTGACTAAATGGGAGAGAGGAAGAAGCACCCCCTCCGAGGAGGGAGAGAGGGAGGAGGGGGAGGAAAGTGGAGGACTCTACCCGCCCTCCCCGCACCGCCCCCCCCCCCCCGCCCCAAACACGTGCTGCCAGGAGGCAGTCTGGGAGCCTGGGGAAGCCGGGTGAGGAAGGGGCCTCTGTGACTCCTCCCCAGAGACTGCAGGGCCCACCCCTGGGCCAGGGGCCGTCCTGCCCTGGGGATTCCAGGGTGTGGTCACCACTACACCCTAGAATGACTCAGAGGTGGGAAGAGCCAAGCCGGCCACCTGGACTGGAGCCCGCCCCTGCTGCCGGGCATTGGCCACTGGAAGGAAGGGGTCACAGCCCCGGCCTCCGCGGCGTCTCAGGCAAACAGCCCAGGAGGCGCCACACCTGAGCAG